TCTTGGACAAATTTGGTATGCACGAAGCAAATTTCAATGTGACGAATAAGGCAGGGGTTGATGGTGAACAAGCGCTGCTCTATGAGCGTGGCATATATGACTTCCGAGCATCTCCCATGTTGATTGTTCCACTGTGCAGCATTTACATTCTCAACCTGGCTTGCTTTGTTGTGGGAATGCTGAGGATGTTTCGCAAGGGTGGGGATGGATTGTTGCTCGCCCAAGCGGCTCTCTCATTCTATGGGGTGGTTGTCAACTGCCATTTGTTTGAAGGGATGTTTTTGAGGAAGGACAGTGGCCGCATCTCGGGGTATGTCTCTCAGATTGCTATAATGGTATCTGGAGTCATCTTCGGCCTTGGTTCGCTTCTTGTACATTATTATTGACTGAAGTGATTTTTTGCTCCAGTATGTACTCCAAAATCTGAAATCAAACTCATCACTGCTCTAGTATGAGATGTTGGAATGCAATGTAGATGGATTATATATATCTTGTTTGCGAGTATTTGGTTGCTGTAAAAGTTTAAAACATCACTTGTGTTTTGCACTTGTCACTTTCAAGTACATGAAATAACAACGGTAAAGAAAAGAGTCTCATTCCCTTGACAATGGGAACCAATGTTACGAGATGATATCAATCACTGACAAATGTGGTTCTGTTGGGTCCAAATGTGGTTCCTCCCCTATTGCCACTCTTTCTCAAAATGCCAAATGTGCTAGGAATAACTTTCAGACCTAGTGGAACACCGTGTAGGCATTCAATGTTACACAATGACATTAGTTCTCAATGTCAAGATTAGAGAACCTTATTAGGGTAAAGAAAAGAAAACTACCAATTCCAAAATAGAGAAAGAAAATAATATATATAGAAACAAGGAATAAATTTTTTTTATATTAAAATCGCAGCTGAACTTTATAATGGAGGTTGCCTACGTACTCAGTGTAACAAATTATACGAATTCTGGGATCAAGCCGCACGTAGTTCTTAATTACATCATTAGAGCAATCACTAGTCAATTCAATCTCACAAAGTAGTCTACATGTAAACAACAAAGAGTAAAATATGTAGTGGACTAATTAAATTGTTGATCATGAACTCCTCCTCATCATCATGTTCTTCGTCTTGTTGTTGTTAGATCATCATCTTCACCATCGTCCTCCTCCTCTTAGGGTTTGGGGCCGCCTTAGTGGTTGTTGAGGTCGCGGGAGAGGGCTTCATTGTTGTTAGATGCAGTTTAGCATGTCCCTAGGGTCTTTAGCTTCTAGCATGTGCTATCTTCACAAAACTCAACTGCAATGTTTATATCCAAAGTTGATCTGACATTCTCATCTTATCTAAGCATGTCATTGTGTTCCAAAATTCATGGCTACATACTCTTATTATTTTTATGGCTAAATCCAGTCTTTTTCATGTACTGGTCTTGTTAATGGTTAGTGCAGTTCATAGGCTGGTACATCAATGTAGTCTCTCGTTACAGAAGTTTTGGTGTTTTTCATGCATACTTCTGTTCCACATTGACCAAACATAAAGAAACTCAGTTCTAGTGTGTTACGACCAGACATTAGTCAGGTATCAACCTTGGTTTATTAGGTTGTTACAGTTACTTGTCTGGGAAAGGAATTGCGTCCCTCATTATGGGTGTGCTTTCAATTTAAGATCATATCTGCTCCATTTGGACTCAACAATATTAAATCACCTTAAGTACAGAGTATTACTAATAATATAATGATACAGTATATGGTACTGTCAGTCATTAGTCAGGTATCGATCTAGGTTTATCAGGTTGATACAGTTACCTGTCTGGAAAAGATACCGTGTCCCTCGTTACAGATTTTGTGTACTTTTAAGATCATGTCTGCTCCATTTGGACTCAACATTTATTCAGTTCCCTTAGTACTCTATTAGATTTTAATGATATGTGTTATTACCCGTCATCAGTCAGTTATCTTACTTGGCGTGTTAGGTCAATAAAGTTTGTTGTCCTGAGTAGGAATCATGTATAGGAAAGGACGATTCACTAATATTTGACTTTGGAGTAAAATAGAATAAAGCAAAATGGTTCTTAAACTATTTGTTCCTTGATTGTGGAGTAACTCTTAGTCATCGTAATGCTCGATGTTGATCATGGGTGATCTGAAATAGCAGCTCTATGTTTTTACAAAGGGGTCAGGCTCTGTGCATCTGGCCCCCTTTACCATGCAACGGGTTGGAGGAGCCTGGGGCATTGTTGTATATTCTTTATAAGAAGACTGAAAGTGTGTCTTGGGGGTTTATTCATATTGGAGAACTGATATTCCCAATTGGTAATATGTGCAGATAATGCTGGAAATATAGTCAACCCCAAGGGTGAAATGAAAGGTATGCACTAGTCTTTCTGTCATCTTCTTTTCCCATTAAAAGAGCTATGTAAGAATAGTTTTGTTTGAAAAATGCACTGAATTACACGGAGTAGTATCTTAGTGAAAACTATTGTCAAATTAGAGTTCTGTATTTTCAATTAATTGTTTTATATATTAACAAAAAAAAACATTTGTTTTGATGATGAAAATTGAACTTTCGTTCACCCATGAGTTCATGACACGTTTCAGGATGGAGGCAGTACGTGTTAAGTATCATGGTTTTCGTAACTGACGTGTAGCTGATTTTGTGTGGTGGGTTAGGTTCGGCTATTACGGGTCCAATTGGGAAGGAATGTGCAGATTTGTGGCCTAGAATTGCAAGTGCATGCAGCAAATGCCAATTGTCTGAGGATAGCCCTTCAAGTGTTGTTTTTGTTTTGAGACCTCTTTTGCTTTCCCATTTCAGACTAATCAATTAGATAAAGTTTTGAACTTGGTGTATTATACTTTTGAAGTTTCAATTGTTTTGAGTTAGTCCATCTTGGTGGATTTTGAACATATTTTCTCATCTGAAAGACTTTATCCTATGAGTATCAAGAAAAGTCTACACAAATTAAATTGCTAGTTCATTTGAGAACATTCACTTTCTTGGTTTCTGGCCTAGGAGACTTTATAGCATACTATCTCTGTTCCAGCGTATTTGTCCAGTTTGATTTTTTTGAGTCAAATACGTCAAATTTTTGGTTTCAATTACTCCCAATTTGTATTGCATATTAGCATATTAAAATATAATCTTGAAAATTTTTAATAAGATAAATATAATTCAATCATTTTTGTATTAAAATACATTATGGTTCGAGAGTAATTGAACATCAAAGTTTATCCTGTTTGACTTGAAAAAGTCAAACTGGACAAATACATTGAAATTGAGGGAGTATTTTTTACGGAATGTCGACTTTGTTGCAAATTTTTTTAAAATTGATTTTACTCCCTCCGTCCCCCAGTTTTTGTCCACTTAACTTTTGGAACTATTCATCTAAGCACTTTGACTCATCAAATTCTCTCAATGTGTAAGCCTAAATATAGTCATGTGTGATCTTGTTTGATTTGTCTTAACATATAGATTATTAATATATAATTTTTATAATTTTTTAATATACAAATTACAAAATAAAATGGACTAAAGAAGTGCATTGGATGGTGTGTAAAAATGAAAGTGGACAAATACTCTGGAACGGAGGGAGTAAAACTTTCTTTTTCTTTTACGTTAGACATTGATGAGACATTACCTATATGGTTTTATGGAGATATGGTAGAGTAAAATAGTAGTTGGACTATGGTTTGCTCTTGCGAGAAACAATCCTTTCTTTTGGACGAAAATAAAAACTGCATTGTCTTTGACAAGAACAAAAATATTTAAAGGAATTTGGATCAAATTCAAATCCAAATTCTTTAAATTGCCAAACATGATTTTTGTACCAAATCTTGATTTCAAATCCAAATCCATGTTCTCAAACAATTCATAATTTAAAAGTTAATTTACTTTTTCTTAATTTTTGTAACAAGTCAAAAGTGACTTTTTTCAGGATAGAAGTGAAACTTTTTTATATGAGACCAATGGAGTATTAAAACGCATGCATTTTTTCTAAACTTGGAATCTCTTATACTCACCAAATAAGTATCTAATTAAATTAAATTTCGAGGATGTTTCACAAGGGTGGGGACAAATTGTTGCTCGCCCAAGCAGTTCTCTCATTCTATCGGGTTTTTGTCAACTGCCATTTGCTTGAAGGGACGATGTTCTTGAGGAAGGACAGTGGCTGCATCTCGGGATACATCTCTCAGATTGCTATAATGGTATTTAGAATCATCTTCGACTTTGGTTTGCTTCTTGTACATTATTGTTGAATGAAATGATTTTTGCTCAATATGTACTCCAGTGTTGAAGCAGTAGAATGTGGAACATTGTCTTATGCATCCAAAATCTGAAATCGAACTCATCACTCCTCAAGTATGAGATGTTGGAATGCTATGTAGATGGAGTATCTTGTTTGCGAGTATTTAGTTGCTGTAATAGTTTAAAACATCACTTAGGTTTTGCACTTGTCACTTTCAAATACGGAGTACATGAAATAACAACTGTAAAGAAAAAAGCCTCATTCCCTTGACAATGGAAACCAATGTTACGAGATGATATCAGTCACTGACAAATATGGTTTTGTTGGGTCCAAATAATCTTGCTTGCCCTCACCCTAGCTCCCCTATTGCCACTCTTTCTCAAAATGCCAAATGTGCTAGGAATAACTTTCAGACCCAACGGAACACTATCTAGGTATTCAATGTTACAGAATGACATTAGTCATCAATGTGAAGATCAGAGAACCTTATTAGGGTAAAGAAGAGAAAATTGTCAATTCCAAAATAGAAAGAAAGACCATAATAAATAGAGAAACAAGGAATAAATTTTTTTCTATATATTAAAATCGAAGTTGAACCTCATAGTGGAGGTTGCCTACGTACCCAGTCTAACAAGTTATACGAATTCTGGGATCAAGCCGCACGTAGTTCTTAATTACATCATTAGATCAATTCAATCTTACAAAAAAAAAAAAAAAACTCCGTACGTAGTCTAAATGTAAACAAGAAAGAGTAAATAATGTGTATGTGGTGGACTAATTATTAAAATTGTTCTTCTTCTTCTTCTTCTTGTTGTTGTTGTTCTTGTTGGATCATCATCGTGGTCTTCACCATCGTCCTCCGATCCTCCTCTTAGGGTTTGGGGCCGCAGCAGTGGTTCGGTCGCGGGAGAGGAGCATCATGGTTTCAGAAACGCCGATGCACTGGATCTTTCTCTTGGCCTTGTTTTCCGCAACTTCCGCGTAGCGCTGGCTCAGGTTCCTCTTGGCGGCTTCCAGCAGCTTCTTGTTCTCCGCGGCGGCGGCGGCTTTCTTGAAGGACGACCCANTGTTGACAATCTTGATCTTTATCTTTCTAGAACAAGAAACATCTGCGGCGGGGGGTTTGCTGTTGATGTTCTTCTTCTTGGTATCGGTCGGCGCCGGCGTTTGAGGATGATGATCCTCGTTGAAGAGGAGTTTGAGGATGTGGGTCCTCTGGTTCTTGAGCTGGTCGGGGGCGACGACGGAAGCGACGGAGATGGCTTGGCGGATGAAGGTGACGATGTCTTGGTCCTCATCCTCCATCTTGTGCTTCCTCCGGAACACCGCTCCCACGTCCTCCTCCATTACTTCTTTCTTTCTTTCTTTCTTTCTTGTGATTGCGTTGCGGCTAGGCTATAGTGGGATGGCACTCACTCACGTAGTAGTCACGTATATATACTTTGCATTTTGTTTCCTAAAATCTAGGGCTTGCTTGGCTTGCTTAACAATCCGCCTTTGACTCCTTCTTTGACTCTTACTTGGACTATTAACTACGAGTAACACACACTCACTTCCAAATCTATTCCTCTCTCTTTCATTTATTTCTCATTATTAATTACATATGAATGCCCCTCATCTCATCTTAATTAGGAGCCGTTGCATTTATTTCTCATTATTAATTACACACTTCATTTGGATTCTTGACACAAAGTTTCCTAGTTTTTTCTTCATTTTATTTAATCTAACATGCATTGGTGTAGAACAAGAAAAAAATTGAAGTACAAATAACAAAAAATCTAATCAAATTGGACTTAAATTATCGGAACAACGATTCTTGTTTTGTAGAACTATTTTTTATGTACTTTTGAACGATGCAATTTATACAATATATTTCTAAACTAATCTATAATTAAAATGATTTAAAAGTTATACCGAATTGGTAGCTGCCTCCAAAAAAATTATACCGAATTGTTAAAAAAAATTACACTCGTAGTATAGTAGCTTTTCAGAGAGAATATTGTAGCACCATTTTCACAACTTATGTAATGACGTTTTTGAAAAAAATTGTAATGAATTAGATTGTGTTCTGTTCAACATATTTTTTCTGTTTGTTACTCATTCTTATTAAAATCAGATCAGACCACAATATATTCAACCAGATCAGCTCAGATCCAACCAGATCCGTTCCAAATAGATTAATTTAGATCAGATCTAATCAGAATTATTATATTATTATTATTATTTTATTATTATCATTATATTCAACTTCACGAGTTAGTTATCCCATTAATTATCTTGTGGAGTTGATGTTAGCCGCAAAGTGATACTGCCATGTTCAACTCAGAACGCAAGACCCAAATGGATACAGTGAAACTTAATAAATCAAAACAAATTTGGGATTCAATCAGCAAAGTATGCAATATATTATGTAAGATGTAGAAAAAATTTAATTTTTTGTAGCATAACATTCATATTTTCTAATGATTAGATATTTAAATAATAATACTCTCGCTTCCTTATATTGAATTATAAACGTAAATGATTAAATTTTCAGTTCTTGGTTATTGTCAATAATTTTTTATTCTAATTTATATATGAATTAATTGTTTTTATTTCATAAACATAATAATCATAGGATAAAAGTTATTGATTGTATCATAATATGAATGGTCATTATAATTTTTTAAGAGCTATTAAGTTATGGTAATGATTTAAAATTTAATTTGATTAGAAATTCCAATCGTATCATATCTAATCAGATTTATTCAAAACAGATTAGATCAAATCATCAGAGCAAATCAAATCCAGTCATATCAAATTAGATCAGAATTTGAAAAAATCAGATCAAATCAGATCAAACAAACGAAACACAGTCTTACTGAAAACACATTTTTCAATGTCGCTCTGATACAATCACAACAATTTATATTTTAGTACAACACAAAAATCTATAGAAAATGCCATAATAATTTTTTTCTCAAAACAGCACTGCGCAAAATAAGTTAAATTTAAAAATAGAATTTATCTCAAATAATCTCCCTTTAATTTTTTGCGCAAAATAAACCAATTTATCTAGAACTAGTAAGATAAGCGTTCACGCCTTAACGATGATAGTGGTGATGACACCCATAGCCGTATGATCTTATGGACCTCGCCATGACAACATTTATTAGAGAGTACTCCCTCCGTCCTATATCTTTCTTCCCGTTGCGCAAAACGAAGAAAAATCCCAAGTTTTTTCAATCTATTTTATTTAAATATTGTTATAGAAATAAAAAATAAAACATACGTATTTAAAAACTACATCAAAAGTTCAACAAAACAAGTGGTGACAAGAATATTTTATTTTATCATATTGGCCATGAAAAAACACAAATAAATATAAATTCCCGTGAAGTTGGAATAGTGCTCTGGGAAGAAAGTTTTAAGACGGATGGAGTAATATTTTTTAAAAAACAAACATAATTTTCTTTTGTCATCGACTTTGCCGCGACAAATAGACTAAACAAAAAATATTTTAAAAATAAAAAAATGTTTTAAAAATCCTATTTATTAAGTTAATTATAATGATTCTTGTTATGGTGACATGTAACGCCGTCCTTTTGTCATGGCATTCACTATAGACCATGCCAAGGCCAGCCCAAGGGTGGTCCGAGTAGGCCTACCGGACCGGGCACAATATTTTAAAGAGTCTATTTTTTTTTAAAACATTGTATATATAATAAAAATTAAGAAACCCCAATATTCTAAGGTGTAAGTAAGAGTCAAACCTGGTATTTTAGGATGTGTAGATATGCTCCATCCACTGAAGCTACTAAACTTCTTGTTACAAAAGTCACGCAACAAGATAATATATTTCTATTGAGTTGATATTATTAAAACTTCTAGTTATTTAGAAAAAGAAACATATGTAGTAGCTAATATACTTATTTTATGAGCTTATTACTATGTTAAAAAATAATTAAAATTGTTTTTTTTATCTAAAAATTAATTTGATTACTTATAGCTAAAAATTATTTTTTTTCAAAAAAAGAAATACCTAAAAAATTATTGTCATCTATTCAAATTAAGAAATTTTAATTAATTATACTTTAATATATCAAAATTAATTTTTTCTTCTACTTTTTCTTGTTTCAATCAACTTATTATATAAGAAAACATTACCTAATGTTTATTTTTAAAAAAAATGAGCATTGCCTATCTATTTTAGCATTTATTAGATATTCATTATTTATCTTTAATAGTAATAAGAAATAATACAAATAAAAAATAAAAAGTGTAATGGTATATCAAAAATTATATTGAAAACTAGATGGAAGAGTGAAAAACGCAAATTAAAACTCTTTATTAATTAAAAACATCTAATAATATAATATAAAATATTTTTCTTTTAATTATAGTTGATCGGGTCGTTGACCTCTGGGTCGACTGATTAACTCTTGACCTACTAGCTTGACCAGGTCGATATTTGGTTCGATTTTCGAGACATTAGTTTTTGGAAGTAAGTAGGTATAAGTCCTCACTATAATTTTGTCATTTACTCATTTTGTTATAATACTAGTATGTTAATTATCATTTAAATATAATTATTTCGCACACTTTAATTTAATTCGTTAAGCCATTAGAGATAGAGACTTTAAGGTTTTTTTTCCTGTCTCGGCTCAGACCATCAAATTCTCAGGACCGGCCCTGGCCCATGCCATGACAAAAACAAATATTTTTTGTCGTGCATAGATTGGTGACAAAGCATGACAAAAGTTGTGACAAGCTACAAGCTACACATCGTTCGCGTGAGGTGTGACATAACCCGGATTTTATAAACAACAAAGTCTCTCCAGTTCGCTACGAAGGTAGTCTTCCAACGGTTTTTTTGATGATAGAGTTTATGAAATGTTGCACCGGTCAGGGTTTTATGGAGTGCACCGTGTGCAACCTATCCGATTAGACCATGGTCTAATCACTTCTCTTGTGTTGAGCGTTGGAGACCGGAGTTACACGCATTTCAGTTTCCTTTTGGTGAGATGGGTATCATGTTACAGGACGTGGAATGCTTACTAGGACTTCCGATTGATGGCCCATGGGCTTTGATTTAAATATTGAGGAACGGAATGTCTTATTTAGAGATGTTTTGATGTGGACAACCGAAGACACCCATTTTGGTCGTTTTGACCAATTCAAGATTGCCCTTATTTTTTATGGACAAACCATTCAACCAAATAATGAATGGCCTGATCAGATGGTGGCTTAATATACCGCTAGGCTCATATATGCTTATATGGGTGGTTTATTATTTCCAGATTCTTCGGGTATGTACGCACCAATTGATTTCGTGAGATACTTACGAGATTTTAATGAAACATCTACTTTTAGTTGGGGCTCTGCAGTTTTAGCGCGATTAAATTTTTCGCTCTGTAAGGCTGCGTTGAAGACTAACCCGCGAACGCGTCTCGGGGGTTGTCTTCTTCTATTGCAATTATGGGCGTGGAATCGGATTTTGACCATAAGACCCATAGTGAATAATGTTCCGAACAATCCACACGGGCCTCCCCGCGAAGACGACCCATTTGGTGCATGGTATTTATTTACATTAATTTAGATTATCGAGGTTATAACTTTTTTCTCTTATTTTATTCAAGTTCATATACATTTATTATTATTCAGATGGAGACAGACCAAGATGTACAGTGCCTCTGCTAGGCAAAATGTACGCTACTTTAGGAATCAACTTGACTCCTTGCAGTTCCGAAACGTAAGATTAATATTCATAAAATAATTTAGAAAATAATTTGTAAAAAATAGATAATGCATTGACTAATAATAGTTCTGACAATATACAGGTTGTTTGGCAACCGTACGATATTGATAACTTGCCTGCTTATTGTTGTCGTACTCCTCAACTATGGACTTTCCAAGGCTATGTTATTTATCGTTCGATTATTGAGCCTGTCATGACTATGCGATTCACACGACAGTTTGGGATGTTGCAAACCATTCCGGAGTACAAAGTGAAGTTAATCCAACATGATGTTTTACAGGAATTTCATGTTCATGTGTCGTATAAAAAATGTTAGTTAGCTCGGATCCGTGCTACAGAGTTGTTGTACGGTAGTTGGGAGAATTCATATTCTCAACTTCCTAATATGTTGTACAATTTACAAAATTCTTATCTAGGAACTGTAGTCGATGTTGTCTATGCATCCGAACTGCCAAACCTTAATGCCATGCCTGAAGAGACCCTGCGCTTTAAGTATGCATTTTGGGCATTCGCCGCGGCAATACATGGATTATGTTAAGGAATGTAGTAGAGTTTGTTGTTAACGGGCTCATTCTTGTTGGGCTCGTAATTTGGTCTTGGTCTTGTAGCTATTATAAATAGCGGATTTATGTATAATCAAATCATCAAGTTCAGTTGCGCTAAACTTTCTACATGGTATCAAAGCCAAATCTTGGAAAGCCTAAACCCTAGTTTGTTTTAGTTAGCTTCCGCCGTTGCCGCCGTCGCCTATGATTTGCCCGGCGACGGCGGCGTCACTGCATATTCCTGTTTCCACTGCCAAACTTCAACATCGTTCTCTCAATAGTTCAATTTTACTCGTCCAGCCACAAAAAAAAAACTGGTCGTAATCAATTTCTTGCTTAATTTTTGTTCAACATCGTTCAACAAATTGGGCACCCCCAGTCTCAGTCGTCGTCTCCGAATAGCCATCGTGCAGACAGTGGAGGTCGGATCTTCTGGTATTTTGTAGATCCAAGTTCTCCAAAATCCATCGATCTACCGCACCGCTGCTTCAACCTTGTGCTCGCTGGCTGAAAATCGTTTCTTCGCTCTTGGTGGGCGGCGCCACCGCCATTAGTCTTCCACCGATTTGCCCATCTGCCGCTGTTGCTCGTTGTTTGTCCGGCGGCGACGGCATCAAAGCCGGTGTCTCAAATCACCGTACCGGCATCAACCTCGTTCCCTTTACCAGTTTTTGTTACTCCAATATTTTTCTATTGCAAGTTGTTAAGCATCCGTATTCATCGCCGCCGTCGCCAAGAATTCATTGGTTGTACCTATTTGGGTAAGCCTCAAATTTGGTCCGCAAGTTCCAACCACAAATTAAATAGGGTGGGCCACTGCAATTGTCTCGTGGCTCTATTTGTTGGGTTTACTCTGACGGCATGAAGTTCCTCTCAAAGTTGGTTAGTAGTTCTATAGTGATTAATGGATTGGTTTGCTCGTACTCCACGAAAGAAGATTTTCATATTTGGACCGAGCCATTTTGTTGATGTTTTGATGACATTGTTTTTGGTTGCTATTTGGTATGTTCAAGTGTAACCAGCTGTATGTTCGGCATGTATGTTTGTGAGGTTGGTCGCATAGTCGCGCCTCAGTCCGGCAACACGGCCTCCAAGTTTGGGATGCTTGTTAATCGTCCCCGTGTCACCGCGTGGGAGTCATTCGTCATCAAAATTTATTGTTCGTTTGCAGGGCCAGTCACCTTCATTCGTTGTTGTCACAGCAGATCAAGTTCAAGTTGTTTATCAAGTTTTTTTTAGTCTTAGTTTTGTTTTAATAGTCCAAGTTGTGCATTCGTTAACCTCATGCTCAACTTGAGGGGGAGTGTTAAGGAATGTAGTAGGGTTTGTTGTTAACGGGCTCATTCTTGTTGGGCTCGTAATTTGGTCTTGGTCTTGTAGCTATTATAAATAGCGGATTTATGTGTAATCAAATCATCAAGTTCAGTTGCGCTAAACTTTCTACAGATTACAATACTGCATGCCTGTAGTGACGGTGGACGGAACTCATTTGTATGGAAAGTACAAGGGTCATCTCCTTCTTGCGGTTGCCATGAATGGTAATCGTGAAATCTTTCCTCTGGCTTATGCGGTTGTTGACGGAGAAACATGTGAGAGTTGGGCTTGGTTTTTTCGCCTTCTTGTTCAGAGGGTTATCAGCTCACAACAAGTCTGTATTATTTCTGACAGACATATTGGAATCATCAACTCATATTGTGACCTTCCAGAACTACAGACCGGATTGGTAATGAAACGTTTTTGTCTTCGCCACGTTCGGAGCAACTTCATGACAAAGTTCCGGAACAGTGATCTTAAAAATTTGGTTTGGGCCGCTGGTAGTACACATAATATCCAACAATTTGAAGGATATATGGCTGAAATACGAAACATGAGTGAGGAGGGATATAAGTATTTAAATGATATTTCCCGTGCGGCATGGACCCTTTGTTTTGATGGTGGGTTTAGGTGTGGTATCTTAACGACAAATAGTTCTGAGAGTTTCAACAATATGCTGAAAGGTTGTCGAATGTTACTGCCATTTTATCCATGTCCTATGCCAAGATGGTTGAATTGTTTGCTAAAAGGTACAAACTTGGTATTCAGTGGCAAGAACAGAGCATGAACATTACTCCGAAAATTAAAAATGTTCTCCTTAATCGGGAGAAAACTAAGCACAAGTGGATAGTCTCAAGCTACGGTAACAACCAATACGTAGTGACTCACACATCTCGAACAGATCCTTCTTCCATTTACAACTACTTGGTCAATTTGTTTAGTAGTGTATGCACTTGTGGGCAGTGGACTTCCGATAGTATACCTTGTGTTCATGTTCATGCTGTTTACCAATCTTTTCGACAACAGGTTACTCACAACATATTACCGGCTAGGTACTCGGTTCAAAACTATTTGAGTTGTTATAGTGGTATAATTCAACCTGTTCTTTTCCCTCAAAATTTGGATGTTGGCAGCTTTAAAGTTCTACCTCCCAAACGGCCAACAGATGAGATTCCACGTTCAGGGAGACGTCAACGCAATCGATACCAGGGCGAGATGGATTTCAGGGCAAGGAGATGATTTTAGTTTAATATTTTTTTTAGTTTGTATCAGGGGAGGTATTGTAATTCTTGTTTACTTCAGATGTTGAGAATGTAATTTTCTGTTGATGTTTTAATATATTTATGTTTTCAATATTCCGTACTTTTTCTTGTTGAACATCTCTTTATTAAAATTTTAATGGTTGATTTTTTTAAACAAATTATATACTGAATCATAAAAAATATTTCTTTTTATTTTAAAAAATGGTTTATGAAATGGCACAAAAAAAATTTTTAAACGTAAGTGTGTGTATTTTTTATGGAATGTAAAAATCGGCTTTATGAAAGCCATTTTTTTAAAATTTTTTTAAACAAAAAACGGCTTTTACAAAGCCAATTTGTTTTTTACTTTTTTTTAACAAAAAACGGCTTTTACAAAGCCAATTTGTTTTTTACTTTTTTTTTATACAAAAAACGGCTTTGTGAAAGCCAATTTTTAAAAAAAAAATTTGTGAAAAACGGCTTTACTAAAGCCGATTTTCTCTATGAGGAAATACCAGCTCCAAATCTTCCCTCTGCGGGAATTTATTCTATTTCCCTGCAGTGCAACACGGAACTGCTTACTCCGTTTAGTATCGAAATATTAATCAAAACGGAGTAGGCTACTCCTTTTTGCTCCATTTATTTCTTAGACGGAGAAGGCTACTCCGTTCCTATTTAAAAATCCAAGATCCCTTCGCATTCAAAGAATCAAAGCTCCTCTAGATCTAAAGCAGGCTGCTCAACATCATGGGCCAAAAAAAGAAAAACGACTGTTCGCATTCAATTCCTTTTTTTTTTAAATTTTGTGAATAATTTGACAAATATATAGTTTAATTTTATAAATATGATATTGTAAGATACTCCCTCCGTTTCTTAAAATCCTCTCTCTTTTATTTTTTTTGTTTTTCTTAAAACACTTCCTTTTTCTATTAAAAAACCATTTTTACCCCTACTTTTTCATACTCTACCTATCACATCATACTTTCTCCGTCCCGATGAGGCCGAATGGCCTACTCTTGGATATGAGATTGTGAGACCAACTACACGAGCGAGGACACAAACTGGTCGATCAACAAGAACTCGCTACCCGAATAACATGGACTACCGACCACAGCGACATCGCAATGAACAATAGCTATATCATGGATTTCAAATGCCCAAGTTTATGTTTTACTCCCTCCGTTTGGAAAAACCCTTCCCATTTGATTTGGGGGCAAAAATAAGGAAATGTTAATTTATAGTTGATTTCCAATTTTGCTCCTGATGTGATGCGTAAAAATAAGATATGATGAATAGATTATTAAAGAAAAAGTAAGATGTGATAGGTAGGGTATGAAAAAGTAAGGGTAAAAGTGGGTTTTTAATAGAAATGGGAAGTGTTTTGTTGGAAGTGAAAAAATGAAAGAGAAAGTGTTTTTGAGATCGGAGGGAGTATGATTTTCACAAAATAAATTAATTATGACATGTGTTTTGTATCCTTAATTTTATGGATAAATTTTATGTACTCTATCAATAAATTTGTTGTGATTTACTTTTTATTTTTAATTCGGTGTATGGTGCATTATTTAAAGTCAATAAATATTTATTTTATTTATGAATTTTATTGTTAGTAGATTGTTTCATTATATGTAAATAATTTGTTGATTTTTATTTTTTTTGTTTTTCAAATATAAGAAAAATAATTATTGAAACAAACAGTAATTGTTTGTAAAACAAAAAAATTACGGAGTATAAGAAAAACAAACCTGGTATTTACACGGAGATGTTCAATTATTGACCAAATGTCCCGCAAGACCTTCTCAGTTCTCACACAAATTATTGTCTTGTTTTTGAAATATACGGAGTAAGAGATAAAGTAAATTGATTTAAAAAAATTAAAAAAAAAGGGTGGACGGAGTTGGCTACTCCGTTTCCTAATTAAATAATTGGAACAGAGTTGGCTACTCCATTTTGCTAATTAAATAATTGGTATAGTGAATTCTGCAGTCCAAACGGAGTCAGCTACTCCGCTTTGCTTTATTTGGAAAAATACACTTTAAAGTTACATATAATGGAACACACAACAAGTAATCTACACATGCAGAGAAATCACCCAAGAATATGCCCTAAGAGCACTGGAAATACTCGTGAAGCCCCAAGGCTTCAAACCGGGGCTTCAAACTCTCTCTCTTTCTGCCACGTCAGCTTTAACTTATACAAAAAATTCACTGGAAATGGGTTTGAAGCCCCGGGGCTTCAAACAGGGGCTTCAAACCTTCATTTTTTACATTTTTAAATATACATCTTCTAAATTTAAATTATTAAATTTTAATTAATTTATTATTTAAATTAATCAAAAGGAGATTAGTACATTAAAAAATTACATTCATTAAAAAAATATTACATTCATAGAAGAATACTTTCATAAAAAAGTTTCATTCATTAAATAAATATCACATCCATAAAAAAATAACACTACAAAGAAATTACTAATTATTCAAGCAACTAAAAATATCTTCATTCAAATTCGAGTTGTGGTAAAATATTGCAAACTGAAATAATTCATCAAATAAAAAATAAAGTCAATAAAAAAAGTATGTTAAATTTAATAAAAAACAAAACAAAATTACATTACTAAAAAAATTTGAACAAAAAAATATTACATTAAACAAAAAAATATAGAGTAAAAAAATTATGTTTGTGTATATTTTTTTAAAGGGAGAGTGGGGAGGGGGGGAAGGGTTTGAAGCCCGTTAAACGTTTGAAGTAGAAGAGATGAAGCCCGGATGAAGCCCCGGGGGGGCGGTGTTTAACGCCCCCTGGGCTTCAAAAGTAGCATAACGCCACTCGGCGTTACATGTATTACCAATGCTCTAAGCGTAACGTTTTTTTTGAGCGCATGAAAATTATATTGTAAATAGAGTTTTTTGGTGACAAAATATTTATGGTATAGCTACGAATATAATATTGTTTCCGTCCCAAAAACTCTTCCCTTTTCTTTTTTTATTTGACCAACAAAATTCTTCTTATTTCTATTAAAAAATATTTTTATCCCTACTAATTTTTAACCTACTTGTGTCATCATATATTTTTATTAATAATCTAGACATCATATCAAAGATATTTTTGGAAAGTCATCACAAAAATATCCCTCTTTTAAATTTCCTAAAATTCAAAATGGACACATCTTTTTGGAATAAAAGAAGTACTCAGTAAATAGAGCTCGCAATTCGATCGGTTAGGTCGGGTTCGGGTTTAATCACTTTGGGTTCGAATTATTTTAAATTCGGGTCCATTCGAGTTTGAATTGAGAATTGTATGTTCATAACCCAATGTCATCAAATTCGGGTCGATCCAACGATTTAAGACTTTGATTTTTAAAATTTTTAAATTCATGTTAACTCCGACATTTCACATTCAATAAAATTAAGATATCAAAAAATATGTATTAAATCTATTATATAATTTTTATTTTAAATTCAAAAGTAATTTTTAGACATACAAATCAATATAAAGAATTAAAAAATGTCTAATTTTCAGAAAAAGTAAAATAATTGCGTAATATCCTTGAAATTTTGTCCGAAAGTATAAATTTATACAAATAAGAACGAGTAGCAAGCAAAAAATAAAATTATAACATTATTTTTGTAACATTACATTTCATAATAAAGTATATGATTTTAAAAAATCATTACATTAGCATGTCAGGTTCGAGTTTGGTCGGATTTGACCCATTTTTTATGAGTCGTTTCGAATTCGATCAACTTTGGGTCAGGTCAACAAAACCTTTATTCAAAATTCAGTGTTTTCAGATCGATTTGAGTTTGATCGAATTTGACTCATTTTAACGGGACATTTTGGATTCGATCAACTTCGGATTCGGTCAATAGAACATTTGTTCAAAAATCCAATATTTTTGGATTCGGTTTCGGGTCAAAGACATATGGAATCATTTTTTGTCAGGTTTATCCGTAAAATTTAATCATAGACCAAAAGAACTGGCATAATTACTGTCACAGCACTACACCCTTTATTAATTAAGATTTAAGATAAAATTAAACACGGCCTTAATTAATTCCATCTTCGTCAACATAAACACGTACGGACGTACTACTCCGTCTTGCGTTCAAGCCCCTTCTTCATCTTTGCGCAGTACTCGAACAAGCTGCCGTCGTAGCACCGCCGGATGGCCTCCTTGGAGAGGAAGCCGTCGGGGTCGCGGGCGAGCAAGTACAGGAAACCCCACTCGAGCTTGGCGGCGACCCACCCGAAGAGGTCGAACGTGTTGCGGTTGGCTTGGGTCATCTCCCAGAGCTCCGCCAGCGTGAGCTTGTCCGGCGGCGCCGTGCGGGCGTACTTGCTGAAGATGTTCTCGAAGTTCGCCGGAAGGTACCGGCCCTCCGCGTCGTACGTCCCGGTGTCGCTGCCGTGCTTGTTCTTGTGTATGTTTTCTATGTATATTGGGAAATATAGTGACGGCATCCACCCCTGTTAGTATTAGAAGCCAAGCAATAAGGGAGTCTGTCCCGTTTAAATCGTCCGTTTTGACTTTGATGCATATTTAATGAAGAAAAAAAATCGAGTTGACTTTTCAAAATTGTCATTACTTTGGAGGAGTGACAGTGAATGAGAAGATAAGGTGGAGAAGAGTAACTTATTTTAGGAGTAGTTTAGGTATTTTACTTTTAAAAATTTACGATAACAAGAAACATGTAACTTATTTTGGGACAGAGAAAAAAAGAAAACAAGCAATTTAAAATGGGACAGAGAGAGTATAATCTTTACTTATATTTGAAATTTTTGGATCAAACTTTGCAAAACTTTGACCACAATTTTTTTAAAAAAAATATTAACTAATTACGGGGTAGTAATCCACATTCAAATCCATTTTAAGATGCATATATTTTTAATATATTTTTGTTAAAAAATTTACCTCTAGGTTTCCATTCACACTTTAAAAATCGAGAGTTATTTGAGTTCAAAGTTTATTAAGGTTGACTTCAAAAAGTCAAATTGAACATTATACAGAACCCAGAGGTAATAGTTAAATTATTAATATATGATATTATGAACAAAATGTCACATTAGTGACCGTGAATAGCTAAATTTTATTTTAACAAAAAATTAGACAAATTTTGATCTATGGAGTAATAAAGTTAAAAAAAATTAGAATATTTCAAAAGATAAATTTATTTAAATCATTTTTGTACTTGTATGCAATGTAATTTTTATTTAATTAATGATCAAAATTTGTTTAATTTGACTGCAAAATGTCAAATTTGTCAAACAAAAAATCTAAACAATTAATTAGTGAAATTCTTAATATTTCTCTAATTGAAAGAAATAAGTGGTAAGTATTTTAATTTAGTGAAAGAGTCCAAAACATATGATTAATTTAGGGATGGAGTAAAACTCTAA